ATATAGATATAGATATAGATATAGATATAGATATAGATATAGATATAACTAAAGTTCTATCTCGTGGGCCACAGCAGTTTAGCAGGTTGTTCTAGACCGGGGTGTCAAACTCAATTTCATTGAGGGCTGCCTCAGAGTTGTGTTTGACTGGGGGGGAGGGGAGGTGGACATGTCCAGGGTGGGCATGGCCAGATCCACCTCACTTGTGTCGGGGGCGCCTGTGTCGGCCTGAGGGCTCTGCCGGCGAAAATGCGTTCCCGAGCTCCGTTTACGGCTGCGACAACCTCCTGCAACCCTCTGCCAGCAAAAACGGAGCGTGGGAGAGCTGCAGGCGGCCATTCCCAATCTCCATGGTAACCTGCGGAGCGTTCCTGGCCTGCTCTCAAGTTGCCATGGCAATGGCGGATGGGGGAGTCGAGCCTCACAACTGCATCGAGGAACTTGCATTTCAGTCAAAACAAAGCACATTCCAACCGGCAACGTCAAGGTCATCTCCACAGAGACCCCACAGTGGCCGGAGGGAGTGATTTCTACAACCCACGAAATTGCTTCACTGGGGGATGTGACTGATGACACAACCTGGAGGGAGGGAGAAACAGGGTCAGAGCCAAAGCACGAATTAAGTGAGGTCAGAGTTGGCTTCACTTGGTCCGTGCTGACATGAAGCTCCAAACACAGAACTGGATTACTTTTGAAGCTTGGCCTGAGGCGAATGATTTAATTAGGGCATCGGTCGGAACCCCGACACTCCGTTGTCATTGGTAGAGGCACTGCAGGCTGGTCCTTTACTCAGAGATGGGCTGCTGCAGGTTCACACAGGATCTTGTGGACCGGTAGTTAAGATTCGGCGCAGTTCGGTGAACTGGCAAATCCCACCACTGGCTGGCCCCGCCCTTGCCCATTTTTTGGCCTGTTTTTGGGGTGCTTTCAGGCCGTTTTGGGGGCCATTTTCCGTAGCCAGTCAGATAGATGATTGATTGATAGATAGATAGATAGATAGATAGATAGATAGATAGATATAGACAGATAGACAGAGAGTTGATAGAGCGAGCCTGGTGGCACAAGCTAACTCTGCTCACTCCCAGCAGTTCGCTGCTGACCAGCTCCAGGTTGACTCAGACTTCCGTTCTCCCAAGGACGGTAAAACAAGGACCCAGATTGTTGGGGGCAATTTGCTGAGCCTGTAAACCACTTAGAGAGGGTCTGTAAAGCACTTTGAGGCGGCATGGAAGTCTATAAATCCATGCCAATTGCCAAATATCCGAATTTTGACCCTATGGCAGTGGGGACTCTACGATAAGACTATCGTAAGTGCAAGGACTCCATTGTAATTCCCTTTCTTCAGGGACAATATTGCTACTAAACGATTGCTAAATGAATGATCATAAGTCAAGGACTATCCGTATTCTGTGAAAACATCCATCTTTGCCTTACTTTTGGGTCCTTCCTCCAAGTTGTCCAAGGAGGCTTCTCTCGGCTCGCTGAGTCCAGCGGCTCCGGCCAGCTCGGTGGCACAGATGATTGACCCCGTGCCAGTCTGCCACTTGCCGAATCTGCCTTTCTCCCGGGACAGGAAGGCACTGTGTCCTCCCAGCTTTGCGCTGAGGTGAAGGCCACGTCCTCGTAAGGTCAAGTGGCCTTTCTTGCTGCATGACCAGGCCTGAAGTGCCTCCTCCTCCTCCTCCTCCTCCTCCTCGCAGGGCGACAATTGGGCTACGGCCAATTCTTCCGCATCGTAGATGGTCAGGCACTCCCTGGTGTATTGGTTGACCACAGCCGAGGCCATCCCATCCCAGCTCCACTGATACTCTGGGGAGTGGGCCTTGCATTCGGACAGGCGGACCCTCTCCGCTTTGTGAGGCGGCGAGGCGTGGATACACTTCTGCAGGCGGACATTTTGGATGAGAAAGCTCCGCCCTCCCAGATCTGGGGGTGAATAAAGAAAGTATTATGTTTTTCGATGTCAAGTTTTTTTTTAATTTTATATTCTTTATACATATCAATAGGTGAACGGTTGTTCTGACCCAAACCTGGTTCAAAGAGAACCAACACAAGACAAAGGTGACAGCACAACCTTTTAACATTTCATTTACGAATCCTGTTTTTTTCACAGATAAAAGGCTGCTTTCAGCTAATTAGCTCTGAGAAGAAAGAGCCTTGCCAAGTTTTTGCAAGGCTGCCAAGAATAACAGATAAAGTTACTAAACAGTAAATCAAAGAGTCTCCAAACACCAAGTCAGATATTCCCAATGTCCACCGGTCTCGAGTATCAAACTTCTTTGCCTTCTGCAAAGAACTGCAGTTTCTCAGCTGGCTTTTATCTCTTAAGGGAGGGGCCACTAGCTTGCAGCCTTACTCCCAAGTCACCCGTGCTGCTGCAGCTGCTCAAAGGAAAGAGCAGCTCTGCGCGCATGCATACTGAGCACAGGCTTCTCGGGGGCCTCTTCATCACTGCTGCCAGCCTCCACAATCTCCGAAGGCAGCACTCCACTCCCTGATGGTCCTGGCTCCATCCCTGCATCACACACAGGCCCCTCATCCGAGTCCTCACTCTCCGAGACCTCAGTCGTCTGCACCTGCTGCTGGCAAATCACAACAACAGTGTGATACCTGGGTGTGATAACCCTGGGTATGGCACAAAGGCAACACAGTCAGAGAATCCATAGGAGTCCCTTTATTAGCTCCCATTTTGTCCCCGATGTCCTGGTTACCTTCTGGGCTGGAGAAAAACTCTCCCAGGAACAGCCTTTGGCTGCAGAGAATCAAGTCCAAAACGTGGTCAACAAAAACTGGAACTATAACTCCAATCAAGGCAAAATGAGATAGTTAGTCTGGCACGGTAGGAGAAGGAATTACGGATGTGAAGGCATGGCAATAACTCAACATGGTTGGGAAGATGCCAGGAACACAGAAAAGCAAAGTCAACACAAGATAAACTCAGGTTTGCTCCCAGAAGTTGCACTCAGCATGCATCTCTTTTAAACTCTCATTCCCAGGTGCGGCTAATGAAGGGAATCAGGACCCTTTCCTCCCCCATAAGCCACACAATTCACTTTGCTCCCTTCTCCGTTCCTCCCTGCGTGCCCTAGGATGAAGAGGGGGTGGGCCTGAGTCTTCCTCTGAACTCCCTCTCCCCTGCTGTGCCCAGCTGGACTTTGCCCTTCCCCAGTTTCCTCCACAGCCAACGTAGCCACACTCCCAGTCTCTGTCGGCTGTTCGTCTTTCTCCTTGGATTCCGACTCCAACAAGGGTCTTCTAGTCCACCCTCCTGCTCAAGCCATTTAATGGAGTGATGGAGCACCCAAAACTTCTGGATGGAAGCTGTATAAAATTTCTATTCTATTCTATTCTATTCTATTCCATTCCATGCTATTCTATTCTATTCCATTCCATTCCATGCTATTCTATTCTATTCTATTCTATTCTATTCTATTCTATTCTATTCTATTCTATTCTATTCTATTCTATTCTTTCCTGATTCTATTCTATTCTTTCCTGATTCTTTCCTGATTCTATTCTATTCTTTCCTGATTCTTTCCTGATTCTTTCCTGATTCTATTCTATTCCATTCCATTCCATTCCATTCTATTCTTTCCTGATTCTATTCTATTCTATTCCTGATTCTATTCTATTCTATTCCTGATTCTATTCTATTCTTTCCTGATTCTTTCCTGATTCTATTCTGTTCTATTCTTTCCTGATTCTTTCTTGATTCTATTCTGTTCTATTCTATTCCGTTCTGTTCCATTCCATACCATTCCATTCTATTCTATTCTATTCTATTCTATTCTATTCTATTCTATTCTATTCTATTCTATTCTATTCTATTCTCCTCCTCCTCCTCCTCCAAACGATTTATCCTCCAGTCTCCTAATTCAGTTAAACTATTCCTTATTTTTGACAATTCTGAGGGAGTCCCATAGCCAACCTCATCTTTCTCCTAGGGAACTGGGACTCTATCCCAAGGACTTGATTCTCATAAATTTTCTTGAAAGGTAAAGCCAGCATGAGAACATGACATCCATCCTGTTTTCGTGGTTGATTTAGATTTCAAATTGTTTCCTCCTCTGACTCTACAGACTTCAGCATGGTGGTTTAGGATGTGCTGTGAACTGAAGAAGCTTCTTGGACAAGAAGCAAAAGGTTTTCAAGGAAAAAACAAGAAAGTCTAGTTGCTTCTTGAAAAAAGCACCTTTGGGACAGCCATGACCCGGATGATTGAGTAGACAAAGGTCTCCATAGACATTTAGGATGTGTCATTTGCGAGACTTTTCCTAAAACTTCGATTTCCCTTCATTCAAATCGCCTTTGGCTGCACACAGAGACATACAACGTCCTTTCGTTGTCCTGGGCATCCAACCCACCACAAAAGACACGAGAAGTTTCCCCCACAAAAATAAAAAACAGGATTCCTTGAAAGGAAGGGAAAAATATTTCATTTGCGCTTAATCGGATTGATAAGCCGAATTAATAGAAAATCAATGAAAGAAGCCACCGAGGAATAACGCACTTACCCTTCAACCAAGAAAGGAGGATTATCCACGTTAAGCTTCCCTTAAAAAGGACCATTGTCGCTTGCCAAAGGAAGTGTGTGTGTTTGTGTGTGTGTGAGCGAGCGAGCAAGCAAGCAAGTGCATCGGTGTGTGCACGAGCAATGAGGGGGAGAGAGGCAGTTTATAAAAGAACAAACTGTACTGCAAAAGAGAAACTTGGTGAGTTTACTTTCATGACCCAAACTGGCAGCGCTTTAAGAAAGAAAGAAAAAAGTGAGAAAGCAAAATGCACACATCATTTAAGAAAACAAAATGGAATAACAAGAAGAGGAAGCGGGGGGGAAGAGTCCCATCAGAGAAAAGGGACTGGTGCTATGGGAAGCAGGGAGAGCTGTGTGTGTGTGTGTGTTGGCGTCCTTGGTACTAACTCAGCTTGTTGGGTTTTATCTGGGGTTGTTTCATGGGCCAGCTAGAGAACACCGTGAGTGCCAGAAGGGAGTGGGTTTTGCAGGGAAGAGGAGGAGGAGGAATCCTTGGTACTCCCTGAGTTTGGTGGTTTGCTTGCAGACGTTTCATTACCCAAATAGGTAACATCATCAGTGCTAGAAGGGAGTGAGGTGAAGGAGGAGGAAGAGGACTGCCAGGTCCTGAGTGCTCTCTGATATAGGTGGTTTGTTTGCAGACATTCCATTACCCAACTAGGTAACTTTATCAGTGCTAGAAGGGAGTGGGGTTTGCTCTCTGTTTATATACTAATGGTTATCCTATCAGTGTTGGTGCAAATGTTGTTGTTGGTTCCTTGATTGGGCTGTTTGATTGTTTGTCTGAGTTGATAAATTGACTGGGATATTGTTTACTTGATTGGAGGAGGAGGAGGAGGAGGACTGTGAGGTCCTAGGTAATCTCTGAACTATGTGGTTTGCTTGCAGACATTTCATTACCTAACTAGGTAACATCATCAGTACTAGAATAGAGTGGGGAGGAGGTAGTAATGGTAGAGGAGGAGGAGGAGGAGGAGGAGGAGGAGGAGGAGGAGGAGGAGGAGGAGGAGGAGGAGGAAGAAGATGGGGACTGTGGGGTCCCTGATGCTCTCTGAGCTTACTTGTTTCCTTGCCGACTTTTCATTACCCAACTACATAACATCATCAGTACTAGAATAGAG